ACAGTAACCCTCTCCTGAGTAGACAGCTTTACATCACTGTCCCACCATGCATCTACTTGAGGCCTGAATTGCTGGCAGGCAATACACAGTGCTCCATCAGTCTCAGCCTGCTTTGAAGCATCCTAGCTAGTATTAGGGATATGGGAGTAGAAACCGCAACCCTGAAGAGTTTAAACTTTCAAGGGGGCACGGTAAATAGCTCAACGTACATGCAAATACCAGCCTGGTAGTTACATTAGATCTGCTGCTATTAGAAGTGATCAAGCAGACCATGGATAGCATATGTCCAAGAGACATTTTTAAAACATTATTGTAGGAACTGAAGAATTACCTTACGGGATCAGACCAGAAGTCCATGTAGCTTAGCATCCTGACTCTGACGGTGGCCAGTGGAAGAACCTCACAGGAGGCAGATGTAGGAGATATTCTGCCTCTGACATAGATCTCATCTTGATCTCTAATAGAAACTGCTTTAAGCTCTGAAGCACGAGGTTTTATATCCCTTCCTAATTTTTTATCATTATGACAGCTCTGGATACTCTTATTACTCATATAAATGTTCGTCCCTTTATGAATCTTGCTAAATTTGCAGTCTCAATAACTTCCTATGATGAGCTCCACATTCTAACAATATGTTGTGTGAAAGTATTTATCAGTTTAATTTGCCAACTTTTAATTTAATTGACTGTTCCCTTGTTGTATTATGAGACAGAACCGACGCTACTAACACGCCCTCTCTAGACCCAGTGGTTTTCAAACTGTGGGTCGTGACCCAGTACTAGGTCGTGGAATGTAAGGCACTGGTCACGGCAGCTCTGGTTAGCACCGCCAACCAGGCAGTTACAAGTCCTGTTGGCGGTGCTGCCCGGCTAGTTCCTACCTGTTCTGACACTGCGCTGCGCCCCGAAGTGGCCAGCAGCAGGTCCGGCTCCTGGGCGGGGGGGGCCATGGGGCTCTGCACACTGGCCAATGGGAGCTGGGGGGGGGGGCAGTGCCTGCAGGTGAGAGCCACGCAGAGTTGGTGCTGCTGGCCGCTTCCGGGGTGCAGCACATCCACGGTGCCAGGACAGGCAGGAAGCCTGCCTTAGCACCCCCGCTGCGCCACTGACCAGGAGCCACCCGAGGTAACCCCACACCCCAATCCCCTGCCCCAGCCCTGAGCCTCCCAAACCCAGAGCCCCTTCCTGCACCCCAAACCCATCATCCCCAGCCCCACCCAAGCCCA